TATTATAACGAACACGTTATAAGTGAGTGGACGGAAAGAAATCATAACCATGCCAAAGAACACCTCAAATAATGATTGAAAATAGAAGAGTATCAACTAAAGAGGAAAGCCCACGAATACACACCAAATTAAAATCACACGACCTAAACCTACGACAGCGAATGCCAATCAACATTTCAAAAAGAGCATTAATACCTTTAGAATTCGAGCCTTTAATGTCTCATTTTCATTAAATTTGGAATAATGGACATTGCGAGAACTTCTTAGTGTCCAAATGGGACAGAACAAATTCTATCTTATTCATTATAGCGCCTTGAGACTACTGACTAGGCTTAAGAAGGCATTGGGTCGGTCTAAATACATAATTACTAAGGAACTAGTACGAGATTGGACTGTGGCTTGGAGAGTGGACCAGCCCACGTGTGCGACGACAAGATGAAGACCCTGGTAATCTTCAGACATCAAAATACACACGAGCAAAGTATTACATTGTCCTGCCATCTTTTTAGTTTTGTCCCTTAGCGTTCCCCTTGGTGCACCTCTTGCGCTAGCTAGCGAGTAGGGTCCACCAGCCATCTGCGGCAGTCATCAGTCACTAAGATACTGCGAAAATTTCACTTGGCTTTCTTAGTAGCTCCAACTGGATCTGCAGTTACACTTAATCTAAGACCGGGAGTCAGGGCCACATACATTCGTTAAGCAGTCAACTGCTTTCGGAACTAGATGTTGGACCAATGCCTCAAAACACGTGTGGCAACGAGGAGGAGTCGAACAGTCTCCTATATAAGAGGATCTAGTTTAGCAACATTTCCAACATCTATAATTAAATGTACTAAAATAATTTTGATGCGAAACCTTTCAAAGTGGTTTATGGCAATACCACTTCAGATGCTGACAGCTTGCCTGTGGAACACGTGTACATGGTGGGTCGCAAACGCAGACATCGTTCTCAACCCTTATGTTGTGAAAAAATCAAAGACTATCTCTACTTTCTTGGTACCAATGGCGCATGATTTAGACGATGGACGTTGTAGTAACTGCCTGTCTACCCTCTGGTCCCTGGTTCTCAGACTTTAAGGGGAAGTTGGT